TTTTTTTTTTAATTTTTTTTGGCTTTATGGCCATAAATGGTTGTCTTCAAGTTAAATTTTTTTCATTAACAAGTATATATGAAAGATGACTGACTGATAATGCAGTAGTCACAGTTCACCTTAAAGTAGAACAGTAGGATTCTGGATGTGTAACTTTGTTATGCTATTGTTGTGTAGTGGTAATTTTGATATTTTAGTGATTTGTAATTAGGACTCTGAAAAGAACAGATTTTTATAAAAGAGCTAGGTTAGTGAGAGAGACCTTTATATTTACTCGCTACAGACCAAGTTATTTTGTGTTTTCTGAATAACTGTGGCCAGAACCAGGCCCACATGAAGGTCCTTTTTTGTCTGAGGATTTCCTTGGCTAGTGCAAAGCCAACATAGTACGCTCTATGCACAGGAGGAGGGATGTAGTGTTTTGAGGATTGGAGAGGTAGGACCAGAACTCACTTGTGCTCCAGCAGTCCCCATTGGTGCAACATCCCTTGGAGTCACCACAAACGAGAAGTACGTCAGAGCAGCCATTAATATGCTTTAACTTGCACCAGGGGCCAGTTCAGCTCCTAGCCAGCCTGAGGATCTTTGCCTCAAAGGTGACTTGGAGCCACTTTTGTCTCACCTCAACTGTGCCATGCCATGCTCTGGAACAGCTGAGGAGTTAGTCCTTAAGTTTTCAAATTTTTCAGCTGTCTATTTTACTTTTACTTTTATGTATATATTGGGGTGGAGAGGATGGAAAAGGAAAAAAACAAGTGATTGGCACCCCCTACATCTTTCATTTTTTATAACTTCATCTCAAAGGGCAAATGTAAAGGGTCAGATTCACACTTGAAGTAAGCCTATTGACTTTGAATTATGTCCCAAATAGACAGAACTACAAAGGGTTAGTGGAAGGGCTGCGACATTAAAGGAGTTATGTTAGTTCCATATTTTAAATTTTTTTATTATATGCTTCTCTTGAAGAATGTTTTGGTTTTTGTCGAGGCAGATGTTTAGCATGCTGTTAGGCCTGTTATATATATCTTAAGAAATGAATTCTTTCCTTAGTCTGCCATTATATTGCTGATGATGGGTGATCACTTGATCTTCTTGGAGACTTGGCATTTCAGGATTTGCTTTGCTCATAATATTTAATCAGCTTTGTTCTACATAATGACTTGTTCACATGCCTTGCCAGTAGTAATTACAGCTTGTTCCCTAAAAATAATGTAATTTGTTTAAGAAACCAAGTGGATTACTTTCGATGGAAGGTGAACCCAGTGAAGAATGGTTTGCACCCCAGTGGATCTTGGATACCATACCACGTCGTTCACCCTTTGTCCCACAAATGGGAGACGAGGTAATGTTGTGTGTGTTCTCACTGACAGCAGATGAAATTGCCTTAACTAGGGCCAATAAAGATGCTTCAGATGCCTAGATATAAATATCCTGCTGCTCATAAGGAGGAATAGGAGTGTTTTCCAAGAAAATAATCCTTATGGAAATATCCTATAGAATTTAAGAGGGATGATCCTTGAGAGTGTGTGTGTGTGTGTGTGTGTGTGTGTATATATATATATACACACACACACACACACACACACACACACACACACACACACACACATATATATATAT